TTCGGCTTCCGAGTCGCTCATACCAAAGTTCTGGCCAATGCCGCAATGCTCCCCAACCGCTTGGACAGCCAATGCTCGGAAATCTTGACGAATCTGGAAACGGCAGCCATTCATGAAGCTGGCAATGTTTTTGTCGACTCAACGATTGGTGCACTGCTACACAGCCAGCCTAGGCCCTAGGCCCTACACTTCACTACACTTACACTGACACCGCTTGACAGAAGGCGGCTGTGTCGCTTGAGTTGAGCACTGGCAAACTCTGGTCATGTTGTATGATACGGCCTCAGAGATTCTCCATGGCCCTACAAGATCACCACGGATTGTTCGGATTGCATGACATGGCCAGCTGTGTAAAGCCACGGCAGTCGGGCGAATGTCAATTGCATCAAGCAGCTTCAGACCCAACCGTGCAACACGAGAGCTGCACAGACATCCAACCCACCGAGCCCCAAAGAATTCAAGTGCAGTGCGTCCTGATAAAAGTGGAATACATAATGCCATATCCGACATCTCTCTTTATTATACTTATACCTTTTCTTGATGATCCACAAACAACACAAGCCGCCGAACCACGGTTCCGAAATGCCGACAGAGCCCAGCAACCTGGATTCTGAGTCGGGGAGCATGGTTCGACAATCCAAGGATCAGGACTCGTTGGGCATTCCGGTAGTTTGGACAATTACGACGTAGTCGTCTTTTGGAGATCAATGGTCGTCAGGATAGTAACAGTGTCGGATAAGATTCACATCATTAACAAGAAAAGACCGTTGTGCCTACCAGTCGAGTAAGACTATGGCTGAGTATGTTCAAATTATGGCTGTCCCGAGGAACGTAGTGTAAAATATAATTGGGACATAATTCGTCTTAGGACAGGACCTAGGATTAAACATAGGACATAGGACCAGGACGGGAGAACGCACAGGATCGAGGTCGGATGATCGAATTCAACAGAGCATGCAGCAGGACCAGCAACAGCACCGTTACCGGTACAGGGAGCCACATCAGCAGTGACACCAGCACCGGGACCCGTCAGCACCCACAAGCCACACCAACAGTTAGTTAGTCAGTTCGTCAGTCAGTAGTTCGCACCCGCACCGGCACCATCCACACATCACGCTCGTTTTAAACGAAGCTTGTGCAATTCCGCACGACGGCAATCTGTTTAGTATGTGTAAAAGTGTAAGACTATATTTATTTGCATCATGATAACTTACTATAGCTGCTATAGCTACTACAACTCGAATTCATCAATAGCTTTGATTTTCTCAGATGCCCCGCCATTTGCCCTTAGTTTTCCTAAGCTTTCCACTATTTGTATATGAGTTCTTTAATAATCTTCTAGCACTGTCCTCATATATCCGTAATATGTTATTATTCTATTCCTATTAAATTCCTGTTATGTCCTAATTTCGGTCCTAATTTTGGTTCTAATTTTGGTCCTAATTTTGGTCCTATTTATTTCCTAATTTTCGGCATAAGTTTGGCATGTTTGTCCTGGTTCCTAATTCCCTTCCTAATTTTGGTCCTAATATTTTCCTTTTTTCTGACCTATTTTTTCTGCTGCTTTCTAATTTGCTTCCTAATTATGGTTGTACTTGCTGCTTATTTAATTCCTATTCCCCAAACCGGGCTCTGCAATTTTGGTCCTAATGAAATCCTAATTTTTTCTAATGATTTCCTACTTACAAGTCCTAATTTTTTCCTATTGAAATCCTAATTTAATTATTTTCCAACATCAATAGTGTTAGCTCTAAGCCTCCACTTAAAGCTATTGCTTGATGCTTATACGACTAGCATGCCGTGGGTTGACAGCTGAGTACTAGGACTACGCAGGACACTAGTAGTTCCTGCGCTTACGATACAAGTATCAGTCTAACATTGCAACTGCAAGACTAGTCGCCATTGGCGTGATGACTCTCGGTGGCCATAAGGCTGACAAACAAGCAGAACAAAACCGATTAAGTTGAACAAGCAGCCCATCCACGAGCGCGATCGTGAGCAGTTCGAGTTCCAGGATGCAGTGTTGATCTCACCTCAGCCATGTCTACCCTCCATGTCTACCCTTAGGCTACAAGCTGAAAGTTTACGTACAGTGTCCCTGAAGCCCCACCTGCCTAACATAATTCCGGGTGTGACTCCGAACTCCGAGACGGCTACACTGAGGCTCGCCATCTTGAGTTGTCGACAGGGCGCGAACGGCTTCGGGCCTATGTTGCTGTGTAGCAACCGAACTCTATGCAGAAACACCATAAGACACTCTTCCGGCTTAGCTTGCCTAGATAGCACGTGTCGGACGTTTCGGCGCCTGACACCCCAAAGGCCCCAAAGGGCAGCATAAGCTGGCTCATAAGGGGTTCTCAAGGTTTACGGCAACAGCGTTTGAAGCGCCTTGTGGTTTTCAAGTATATAAACATATGTACAGGGACTAAAAGAGTAATCGTTGTCGACATGTACTCAAACCGCTACAGCCTAAGAACCCCAGAATCACCGTAATCCCTGAACCCTCAGCGCGCTAACCCGAAACCCTAATCCCCAGACCCTAAACCCCAAGCTCCAAACCCTAAATCTTGAAATCCGAGCCGGGCATCAGAGACTGATGGGATCGTTCTCTGCAGGGGAGCCCCTGGAGCTAGACGCCACCTCAAGGGCTGTGATCTGCATTCGAAGCCCTTGGCTCCTGTTATGTATAAGAGAGAGAGAGAGATATATATATATGTATATGTATGTATGATATGCGTTTCGCCACGAAAAAAGGTAAACAAAGCAAACGCATGCATTTATGTACTTAGGATTTGCTTAGAGCGTTTATTGTGTACGTATGCCGAAGCTTACTCTTGGACATAGCATCCCTGGCAAACCTCTCTCATGCGAAGATCGAAAGCTGCAGTGCCGAACTCCAATGCTGGAATGCCGAGTTCTGAACCCCCCTCAATCGCAAGGGCACTCAACCAACCATTTGAAGACTCAATCCGAAACTGAACTACACCCTCCCGAAAGCCCAGAACCCTCCTTTGCGTCGGGGGGTCCTCTTCGGAGTTCCTGTTCAAAGGTCCCGGTCACGAGGCCCTAAATTTCTAAACCTGTGTCGGGCTCCTTTAAAGGAGCCCTTAACTTAAGTAAACTAAGTAACCCCTGAAAGGAACCCATGAAGCCCGGAACCCTTCAAAGAACCCTTTAAGGCCTTCAAGGATTCCCGTTTCGGATCCTTACTACAAGAGAGGCTTCCTTCTTTGTTTAAAGACTCCCGTCTGTTAAGCCTCGATATCTCGTGCCATCTGCATAAGCTGCGGCTGTTGAGATCCCCAGGAAGGCTTGTGCGAAGCTCTGGGCAAGGTTTGACAAGGCTTTGCAAAGATTGCAAGGTTTCAAAATTTGAAGTATAAGGCTTGCAGGTTGGTTCAATGCACTTAATTATGCCCCAAGGCTCGACCGATTCAGCCAAGAGACGGTGTTGATCTCGCAGAAGTTGTACGCCTCAGTGATTGACGTTTGGCTGTGTTTCCCGACTTTCGAAGCAGCCATGTCTGGTATAGGTCAGTGATTAATGCATCGGAGTATTGCTCCATCATGTCGATAATGCCTGCCTGTTTGTATATGTGTATATATATATGTATATACATATATATATATGGACGTAATACAGACCGTTGTGTGTGTCTGCGCATTTGCATACATACGCCGCAAGAACCACACAGCAAGAAATAAACATATAGATGCGAATATCCATGTGGACAGTAAATGGCTCCAGTAACAAGTAAACTATACATAACGTTACAGGTATATTGCGAAACCCTAAGAATGTCATCACCGAATACGCAGACCCCAATGCTAGATAATGCAAGGGTCGTTCGAATCGCCCCCGGCCTGCGAAGACATTGCTCACTAGTTGGGCTTTGGCCTCTTTGGACACTGCCCGGAGGATTTGTACAGGTCACAGGTTGTACGGTGTTTCTACTGCTTTTTGATTCGGGGGTTTGTGCACGCGGTCGATGTGTATGCCTTTTGGGTTTGCCGTATTTGGGTACCCATCATCTCCGAATTCGGCAAATCTGCGCTCTGCAGAGAGGGCGTCGCTGCGATTGAAACGGTGACTCTCCATTCTAGCTGTACGTCAAGTCCTCGTGTCTTCAAGATTTTCTGTTCCGGTCGTCGCGTTCTTCAGAAAGCTGCGGCACGAGATGCGGGCTCAAACATCGAGGTATGCTTAGCTACAGTAGGAAACTCACAGAGGCTCCACCGAAACTGCTCTAATCTTGCCAGCCAGGGGCCTGGCTTTTTCTCATCTTGCTGGCTCAGGGCCGCCGGCTCTTTTGCAGGTACGTTTTCACCCCACGTCACCTAGTCTTCGTTGGCCAGGACAGGTGACTCTGGATTCCTGGTCCCCTGCTCTGTATATCAGCGGATCTGAAACTGCGAAAGTCAAATTGCTGATACAACATGTTAGCAAAATATGCAACTTAATGCTCATAGTTAATAGGAGTGACTCTCTATTCGCATGTGCTAGGGAAGTTCACACATACACACATGGCGGCAACCCCAGCTTGTTGCCAAGATTATTAAGACAGAAACAAAGTCGGTAGCTCGTGTTGTTATTGTTACTAACCAAAGCTCGGAGTGTTGGAAAAATAACATTGTCGACTCACTGCCGCAAAATTTCTCTAGAGGCTCTGTGTGCATATATATATATGTATGTATACAGTATACACATACATAGAAATATCTCCAGCGAAGATCTAGTATCCTAATCTAATTGCGTAGTTGAGATTTTGCCGTTCTGCCACTGTAGTCATAGACGCCGATCTTTTTGAAATCGCATCGTTGTCCCTGGTATAGAACTGGCAGCATTGATGGGATTTGGAAGGATTAGGACTGGACACATCTTCGACCAGAAACGAGACATTAGTTTGTCGGGTTGCCGAGCCCACTTAGGCACCAAAACCATCCTAATCACCACAAGGGAAGACCATCAAAGCTGCTTCGTGCCCTGCTCTGCGTTCGCCTTAAGCGCCACAGCTCAAAGGGCAGAAAATGCTGCTGCTGGTGCAGCACGTCTTTGGGCAAAGAAGGCTCAATGGGGAGAACAGCTCAGGATGTCCATCACAATATCGCGTGTCCGTGATGACCTGTGGAAATTCAAAGTACGCAGAGTTTCACTCGTTCGCAACGACATGGGCGCGCGAAATCAAAAAGCCGACAAGAAAACAAGCCCGCCTCGTGGGTCATCTCAGCCAAATAGGGGCACCCTGCTCCTTTCATGTCGTGGGCCACCTCTTGGAGATTGAACACTTGCTCCGGCGTGGCGCCAAAATACGCTTGCATGGCCGAAGGATACCTTGGAGCAGACGGGACAACGCCATAAACAGCGATAATTCTGTTGGAATCAATATGCCAAGCTACATGTCCCAGAAAGACTGCCAAGATTCAAAGTCCTTGCCTACGTCCTCGCAGGCTTCATCGGCCACCCAGATCGGTTGCTCATTGAGACCTTCGATTCTTTGTCAACCGATGCAAGATTCAATTAATCAATGGAGGATCTCCTAGAAACCTTGGCAGGGCGAAGTAAAAGCTTGGCTTTGGCAAGCTGGCAATCCTCGGCAAAGTACCTAGTTGACCTAGTCTGTGTTCTTCCTCGAGCCAAGGAAATCCCAGAGTGCCAACACCGTGCGGGGGGACTGCATATTCTTTGATCAAGACAGCAAACATAAAAGCACACCCATGCGAGTCCAAGTGCAACTCTTCAAGCATCCTTGTGCGCGAACCTTGTACAGCGGATTGGCCTGTTGGAACTTGTGGTTTCTGGGCTTCGGGATCGGGTCTCGTCTGTGGTGGAGATGAATGAAATACGTCTCTCTCGATAGTATGCCTTCAGAACCCAAGTGTCGCTTACGCACAGGCTGCTGCGCAACTCTGTCGATGCATTTCTGCTCTAAGGCTTTGGAGTCTTCTGCGGGTCATTGCTGATTCCCAGTATTCCCTCAAGAACTCAATCACCCGCACTAGCACCCAGGTTCAAACTATGCTGTTCTAAATACATCGCCTAATAGTTCACTTGCCTGTGCTTCGACGCAGCCGCAGGTCTCGCCACACACCATGCGCAGGAGCTGCGCGTCGACGTCGGCACAGTGACTTATCATGTCCTCACACGTGCTACGACTAAGAGAAGAGAAAGTGCAAAGCCAGTGCGCTGACAAGTCGTTCTGTGGTCTGCTTCAGCTCTATATCGCGCACTAGTGGCAAATATCAGTATGCGACCAACAGAAGAAACGCGAAATCAAGCCACCAGAAAAACTGGCGATGGACCAAAATGAGAGCCGGATGTTGTATCCCCTTGCTCCTCACATGTGCTGTTTGGAGGCATGCCAACGGACAAGGCCGCGGACCAAAAGTAGGGTCCCTAGGTGTCGGGGATCGGTTCGTTTTCCCCGCGAAGGAACCACCCGTCGAAATTGGCGCACGGCAAGGTGGAAGTGGTGGCCGTAGCCATGGTTTCCACTCGTGTCTTCTCAAAGCTCCGCGGTGAGGTGTGGAATAAGATAAGGTTGCTCTCGTTTGATTTGAAAGCGTAGTCGTACACCGCAGTAGCGATCTCGTCTTCAGCTCGGGCTGGGTCATAGGGCATACTCGACCGTCCGACTGCCAAACCGTGATCATCATTTACGGCGACCACGAAGTTCTGGTTGCCGCCGCAGTACTCAGTCTTGATGCGTTCCATGGTGCCACCGATTGGGTCAACCAGCTGATGCCAGCTCCCGAAAATCACGACCACGAAAAAGAGCAAGAGAAGAAGGGATTCAATCTGGCTCCGGCATGGAGAATTGCGAAACTGCATGGGCTTTAGCTTCTTCATGCAGACCTGAAGCTGCTTCGGCATGAAGGCCGCGTAAAAGACGCTGTCGAGCTCAAAAAGGCTTTTCAAGGCCACAGCTCGCAGAACTATGCTCCTGATGGCTATGGTGTTCACCAGCCACTGGATGCCGGCGGCAAGCAAGAGGCTTGAGATGACAGCCTAGGACAAAGCCGATTGCACACACGAGCCCCTTTCTGATTCTTGGCTTGAACTATCCTGAAGTTCCATCAGGAAAGGAAAGAAGTGTACTGCTTCCTATCGCCAGAGCCCCTTGGCGAACCTGAAACTGACAAGAGCGCCAAGCAGCCTTCGAGATCCGCACTGTGCAGAAAAGGAAGAACCGCGGAAATGACACCGACCGAAGGGTTCCCATCTCCAGAATGGTGGAGGGCCCTCGAGGCACATTCCACAAGCCTGCTTCAGGTTGGGATTAGGGTCCAAGGATTGAGGCTCAGCATGCAAAATGAGCGGGTGAGGGTACGTGATTAACAGACAATGACGGCAAGGCGACTGCGTTGCGAAAGGCCCCCGGCCTTCCAAGGACGAGAAGATCTGCCGGTACTCTCTGCCCAGGTAGAGGCACCACCAAGAGATACAAAGCACGCAAAGCACACTCCCGGGACAGATGCTTTCAGGAGCCAATTCACTTTCTTGCATGCCGAGGTAAGTGTTCAGCTGTGAAATGAAAGAAGCCTGCTGTGTGGACATGATCAAAGATCCATCTCCGTTGCACACACGCGACACAAGGCTTGTTTCCGAGATGTCCAGATGCTTGAAATCATGTGCAGTGCCCGCTCTCCACCTTCTCGCGATGTCGATCTCGCGAGTCAGTGGCTTTCCAAGGAAGTCGCCGGTTAGGAGCACGTAGCACAATCCCCCCTGCAGCAGGAGACTTCCGACAAAAACGCCGCAGCCAATCACGATGTCGATCCAGCCAGCCTTTGTGAAGCCCAGAACGAGAAGCAGATTCCAAGTCGACTCTGTGAAAGGGATCGGCTCTTGAGCTTCATCAGTCGGCCCAGGCCCAGTCCCTTTCGTCTCCTCTTTGGGTTTCGATTCCTGTTGAAGTGTTTGAGGCTTGGGAGCCTCCCAAGCCTGCGCCTGCACCTTTAGTGCCTTTTGCTCTGGCGCGGGCGCGTCTTCAACTTCAACTTCCAGCTCTCCGTTTGCGCTGTCAGGGCTCCAGGACGCGGGCTCGGAGATGGGCAGGCGCGTCTCCTTTGAGAGGCGCAGCTCCGATTCCAGGCGCTCGACCTTCGCCAGGCACTGCGAGAGAACCTTCGCGGTTTCGGCTCGAAACTCATCCCGAAGTCTGACTTCGAGCTCACGAATCTTTTCTTCCCAATCCCAGGAGTCAGATGCCATGGATGACAAGCTACTCCACAGCCCAAAGCTTTCGCTCTCTTCGCCGCTTGAGCATGACAGCAGCCAGAGGAAGCTGGGCATCAGCACTGCAACACCACTGTGACTTGCTTCATCTGCTACTCTGCATGCTACCTTTCACTGTGCCAAACTTCTCACCTCGCCTTGACAGAGCCCTGAGCAGTGCCGCCATCTTTTGACCATCTACTTGCTCGTCAGGCACCCAGTGACGCCGCACGGCGTCGTCGCTCAAGGCGCCGAAGCAAATCGGTGTCCCCTGCCATCAGGCCTTGAAGAGAGCGGCAGGCGGAAGGTCGCCGTTGGGTGTAAGTCTTTGCTAGAAGAAAGGACACCTGCTCTGATCACAGTCACCACTCAGAAGTTCTTACTGCTCCTTTATCGCCTTCGACGTTTAAGCCGCGCTTCACGAGGCCCTGCCGGAACTGCTCTCCATTCATCGAGGCATGGCTATCGAGTTTGTGGGAGTCGTGGTTTCGGTTCTGCACACCGGCAATCCTGCCACTGCGGAAAGCCTGTTTGCCTGGTGTATAGTGGAGAGATGCAAACTGAAATCGGGGAAACTAGCAGGAAGTCGGTATTCAATAGCAACGCTAACGTGCAGCCCATCTTAGCACGAGCCAAGTTGCTAATGAAGGCACCGTTCATCTTGGGCTTGGGTGGCTCGGGCAAGACTTGTGCTTGTCTTTCGGTCGGCGTGGTCTTCAGAATCACGCCTGTGAGAGCCAAGGAGGAATCTGCTGGGGAATCTTCTTCCTGCTTCCGGGCTGTAGGGCCTGTAGGGTTCAAGTTTAAGGAACAAGATTGGGGTTTAGGCAAAATCAGCAGAAGCATCAGCAGCAACAACCCCTGCAAAGGCAACAGCAAGACAGCAATGGCAAAAGCTAAGACATCCGAAAGAACACAAATCAGGAGCCATGAAAGGATGAGCCTTCTCAATTCGCGGCTTCTGCCGTGACAACCAGACAGATCAATTCAAGAACAGGTTGAACTACTGCAGCTGAATGGTATCACCGCGAGCATTGGTGCTGATGTTATGTTCCCCTCTCCTGTCTGGTGGAATACCTTTAATTGCATCAGTAGCGGCACTGTTGCGTCACTGCTGTGTCAGCGGTGTTCCTCGTGTTGCCTTCTGACCGACACCATGGCTTCTCTTTCTGGTGCGCTGCTATTGTATTTTTCCTCCTGACTGTGTTGCCTACTCTTGCTGCTGTGTTGTCATGTCAGAGTTGTGACTGTTTCACCCGCCTCAATACTTGGCACATTTATGGTTCATCTCGTGTCAGTCTTGACATTCGAAACGGCGTCAAGATAGACATTGTCGTTCGTGGTGGCACGCTTGCAGCTGCTGTTCTTTTTGGCTGCTCTTGCAGTTGGAGCTGATAGCACCTGGCCTTTGAAGGAAATATCTTGGGGCTGAAATGTCGTGGTCAACTGCTGGCTGCAAGAAGAATCGGCGGCTAAAGACTCCGAAATCCCTGCTCGCCCACCCCTCACTCGTATGAAGAACCCGCAGGGGTCACAGGAGGCCACGCTTCACAGGCGTGGTTGGCAGGAGGCACCACAAGTTTGATTGGGATGTATTGCTATAGAACTACGCAGGTTTGGGCAGGAGAAGCTCCAGGCTGTAACGTTCTCCCAGGACCCAAACTCTGCAAAAAGCATGCTCAAGTCCCTGGCCATATCCAAATTGCTCTGCAAAGCTCCGGCGGCGGGGCGGAGGCGCAACAGTCGCTGCTTCTGCCGGCACAGGCTCCTCTAAAGACGGTTGGCGGGCTGGCCATGGAGCTTGTGTTTAGGGTTTCCGGGGTGGTGTTCCATTCAGAGGCCTCTGTCTGCAGGTCAGCTCTTCTCACAGTCTCTGGTTTCAATTAAAAGATGGGCCTCCTTCCCTGCATGATCATTGCTCCCTGCTCCCTGTCTCCATGCAAATGGTTCGATGGGACCACAGAAGAATTTCTAACCTTTGACTCCCTCCCCCCCTTTACACATGCTTTCTGCTTGCTACGAGCACACCATTGATACACAGACTCCACTTCAGCCCTGCAGGGTGTGCCGAGTTTCGGGCCTCCAAAACTTCTGGAACCGCCACTGGCTTTACCTCATGCAAAGCGCCAACACGAAGCTTTGAAGAAGTCTTGTTTTTGTGATCCCACCCATACTGTGCATGATTTACAGTAGACGCACCTTGCAGCTGCAAGCTTTTGTGGTTAAGAGATCTTCGTCCGATGCTAAAACCATCCGGCCGTGCATTGTTCTGCGAAGCGGCTGCTCGGTCATTGGTGCGACGTCTGCGGGCAGCTTCGAGGACCGCGGAAGCCTCTCAGCGAGGTGGGCTGAAAACGCACTCTTCAGTTTGTCTCTACCCTCTTTCGTCTCGATACGAGCCCAACCCCACAGTAGCCCACGAAAGCTTCTGCTGCCTGCTCAAACCATTGGGGGCTGTTAGAGTTCGGCCCTTCTGGGATCCACGTCCCACAAGGGATCCCAATTTAGAGAAATCTATTGATGGAAATGCAGTAACATCTTTGCACAGAATGCGTTCGTGTGCTTTCGTTGACGGCAGCGAGTTCGGTGAAGAAACTTCTTTGTACGGCCCGGTCGCCTCGGAGAAGCGACTGAGCTGATTGATGGCCGTGGACTCCTCGCTCGGAGACTTTGAATTGCTTGGGAGGCCAATCGTCGTGCAGCGAGCTTGATGGCTTGCGGATGTGATTGATGCTTTAGTTTTTGCATATGGGGGTTTGTAAAGCTTCGAGCGTGTTGGGATAGTTTTAAACTGAATTCCTCTTGCGAGTTGCTTTCTGAACCAAAACTGGAAAATGCTGGGAACAATTTCTAAGTAAAACCGGGCATGGTCCTTGAAGTAGTTGACTGCGTTGGCCCTGCGTTGATCGAACTCCTCTCGCGACAATCGCCGCAGCTGCACGTCCACCTGGTGGAAACCGAAACCCTCTCTCTCGTGGTGGCTTCCAACACGAACATGACAAAGACGCAGTGGTTTCATGTCATTGTCCCAGCATGCTGATTTGTAGCTTCTTCTTCAGACCCTGGCTTTGTGCATTGCTAGATGCTGTATACAAGTGTGTGTGTGTGTGTCTGTGTGTGTGCGATTGCCGTGCTGCTCGGTGATCTTTCTTTCTCATGCTCCTCACGTCCTATCAGCGGCACAATCATCATATCAATCATATCATCACCTTCGTCGTCGTCATCCACATCAGCCCCATCATCTCAGCAGAATCGTCGCCACCTTCCACGATGCGTGCCTTCTCGTTTGTGTCCACGTCTGTCGTCTGCGCCCTGCACAGAGCGAGTTGAAACCCCCTCCTGGTCGACATTTTTGCGGATGGCCGGTAACCATGGCACGTGCCGTACCGCTTCCCAGCCTTCTTAGCCGCGGTCGATTGGTGCCCGCGGTGTTTTGGTTCACCTTGCAGCTTTGGGAACACAGCGAACACTCCTGACCCTCGAAGGCCATGGGAACGGTCCAAAATCTTTTAAACTCAGGCTTTCTGCTCAGACGGCGCTTAGAGGCACCGGGTGAAGCCATGCCGAGAACTCAATGCCGAAACTACTGGAACTTGAGACCCGAATAGACAGCAAAGCCGCAAATTCTAAGCTCTCACAGAGCCCAGACCGAACTTCCGCAACCCTCACTCCCTCAAACCTACGAATCCTCAAGGAAGGCACCAACATGAAAGACAAATGGAAGAGGATCCTTGTATCATAGAAATCCTGAGCCCCAGGACCCTAAACCCCAGACAGTGTCATAAAGAACCCACACCTTTAAACCACTCTTCAAGTGGCCGCCCGGAGATCACCCGCCGAGGCTGGGCGGCCCAAGGCCACCCGACGCACCACCGCCACTTGAGGCTCAGAGCCTCGATGCCTCGTGGCTGACGGCTCTTCCCTCTCAAAATCTTTCGGGAGGGAAGCTCGGCTGTGAACATTGGTCTGCGGCAAGGCTTCAGTCTGAAGAGGAATCGGATCAACCGTCTCCGCAGACACGAGAGTCGTGCCAGCTCTGCTTCCTGCTCACCCCTATGAGCCTCATGAACGACTAGGCTATCCTGCATTTACATGCTTCCGCTCTTCGAACTGGTGCGGGCGGGCTGTTGCCGTTTCTGGCTGTCTTGTTTAGTCATGAAGTTTTCATTGACGCCACTGCTCGCGTTGGGTGCATGGTTGTGCATGCCTTGTGGGATTGTGGTCACGCAGTAGGAAGCCTTGCGTGATAGGCAACTTGGTAATATGCAGCACCTAGCACAAAACAACCGCCACTACATCCGCCACGACATCATGAATCCCAAATTAACCTCAACTGCAGACATCGTCTCGCTTCGGGCGCCTGTCGACGGCAGCGGTCACGGGTGAAGTTGGGGCGACGTCCTCTATTGCCGCGAAAGGCTCCTGGAAAGTCAAAGCAGGTCATGCCGCTGAGGCTGGTGCAACGATGCCTTTTAGTGTCTCAATTCGAAACTAGCGCCGCTTGGCGACAGTCTCAGGCTGGGACCGGGCTTTCGAAGAAGACATGCTGTCATACCGTTTCGGGCATTGCGGCAGACTACGCCTCATGCAAGATGAGCTACCTTGCGGCTTATATTCAGAGTCTTGTGTTGCATCGTCCTCCGTGCTAAGCAGCTCTCGGGCGAAAGGCACCTGGCCACATCAAGCTGGTCAGGGCAAGCGAAGCGGGCACAGCTGCAAACACTTGAGCAATGAACACAACAAAAATCCTTGGTGATTGCGACACCCTCAGTACGGCCTGGTAAAGCCTACATGCTCTTTTCGGGGTTGGTTGCAACATGTTGGAAGCTTGTCCAGATGTGCTGCACCAAAAGATGTTCATCTTCACAGGGAGAACTGACAGAATAGACGGCAATCGTACGAAGGAACCACGCGACGGGGGCAAGATACGAACATGGCGGACAACGAGGTTCATGGTACGGCGGCCATGTCAAAGGGCACAACCAAGGGACAGGCAAGTTGTGTTGATGCTACGATACTGGCCCAAGCCCAACTGTCGAATCCTACATCTAAAAGGCTACGTGCTAATCCTACCTGTACATCATCGACCCTTCGCCTACAATTCTCCAGGACCGCAATCTATCGCCGGCACACCGAAACCCCTGAAGCCTACAATCTAGCACTAGGGTCCTTGAGAGTACACCCGGAACTTAACTGATGATGGAATTGATCCCATAGCCCACCTCGAACTGCGCCTCTGGCGCTGTCCGGGCTCGCTGGAGCACTGGCCTCCGAGGCACCACTGGTGGCCTGTAGAGAGCTTCTTGAAACCACAAGACAGTGCTTCAGATGAACACGCTGAACTGCGTGCGAATGTGTGTGACAGAGGGGGTAGTGGTGATGTTAATACAGCAGTAACAAAAACAACACCATACTGCATATGCAGGCCTGAGACAGTTCATTTGCATGCATACGGAATACGCATGATGCAGCATTCTCTTCTGTGATGACTGCAGGATGTCATATGTTCGCAGGTTCGTTCACGCTCTAGGCTTTGGGATTTCTGTCGCATGGTCTTCGCTCTGTGCTGATTTCAGACCTGAAGCTCTTGAGACTCTCAGGGCTTTGGTCTTGGCTAAAGGTGTGCGAGATCTCGAAATATTCGCACAAACAACACCAAATTCCACCATGCATGAAAGCTGTGGTTGAGGATCCCTCGTAAAGCGTGGTCTAAGATCGGTTGACTGATGCTCGAATCCCAAGGCTATATCGCGAGATTCCCGGGTGGGCGTTTTGTGCTTAGGGTTTGAGCTGCCAAGTATGTCACAGCCCTGCGCCGAAGACTTACTTCAGACCTGGATGTGTCACAGGGGAGCTGCGCTCGACAAGGGGTTCGTAGAAGTCGAAACATGCATTTTCACAAAACTTGGCTTCTGTGGCTCTTTCGTGCATTCACTCGCCTCTGCCCTGCGACCGTCGTGGAGTTGGCGCGGCGGAGGCGGAAAGGAGCGGAGGCGGGTCGTGACATGGCGCTCAAAGCTCAAAAGGATACCGCTGGAAGCCTTGGAGGCTCGGGGCTCAAAGGCGCCGAGACGGAGCCTCCCCTTGCAACTCGATTCCTCAAACCCATCAGACTCCAAAACTCCTGAGATAGCAGCTAGAAAGCGAGAGAGATTCCGTAGAGAGCTTCAACCGACTCTCGAGTCACCCGTAAAGCACACAGGGGAGGAGTTCCCAAGGCCTTCCCGCGAATTCGGCGCTGCAACGCAACGCGTGAAACGAGACTTTCAGCGTGTCCTTCGGCACTCTGAAACTGGGCCAAGACAATCATCCAGGGAACATGTGGTCGTAGTCAGAAGGGTGCGGAGACAACGGGAGAGAGAGAGAGAGAGAGAGAGCGAGAGCGAGAGGGACAGAGACGAGGCGCACACTCACATGCATAGTATAGACGAGTACGCAACAAGCATCAACAAACTATACACATCGCATCGCGACACTTGCAAACGCACTTTTCCTGACATTTCAGCAAGTCTTCGGCAACAACCGTCACTGAAGTTGCCCCCAAACACTCCACCCGAAGCCTTCTTCATTGAAAGCTGCAGAGGAGCAGGTGTGACTGGTAGGGCTGTAAGCCTGTGCATCCAGACGTCCCATAGGCTTCCGGCTTGAGGGCAAGGTCGAGCAATATCGCGTGCTCTCCTTCCTAAGTCCTACGACACCACAAACAGCTCTTGGCTCTCAATCAGGGCATGCTCGCTACGACCTCGGCGCACGAGGTTCTGACCATTCATACACCCTGAACCCTCTTCTGGGTGAGCGATCAACCCTACACACTAAACCCTACGCCCCAGCCTACGACGAGGCCCTCGTTGTTCAGCGCGCTGCAGCTGCGAACGAAGGTCTGAATCGCAAAGCGGTTCCGAAGTGATAAGTTAGATATCGGCGCTTGCACAAGCAAGGAGCGGTTGAGGCAGGGTGGTGTGAAAAGTGCGCCCAGGGGTTGATTTGTTTCGGGCCTGCGAGCTTGCAAACTTCGGGGGCTTTTGGGGCTCACTCTGCTCTGCAGTAAGCCCACGACTCCAGCACGTCCCCTAACCCGCCATCCCTTTGTGAGACTCCCCCAAAACAAAAGACCCAAACGTTCCCGAAGCGTTCGCCAAGAAGAAAACGGCCTCTCCGCCGATGGCATCTTTCAAGGCCAGCGAGTCGCTGCGCGGAGATCCCGGGAGCAGAGCTCCCAACCTCTCAGCAGAGAAAGCTGGCTGCAGACTTTTGGGAGTCTAGGATTTTGTCGAAACTCCATCAAGGGCTTAGAGAGCCGGGGATTGGGGGATTTTAGAATGCTTTTCTTAAAGATCGCCTGAGGGTTTGTAGGTGCTTTATCCAAAGTGTTCCGTTGGCTTCCCTCCGACTCTCAGGCTCAGGGAAGCTTTGGAGAAATGCGCTTTTTCTTTGGTACTTCGAATTGCAGGTCTTTTAAGCAGCTTCTGGGCCGGCTTAAGGTGATTTTGGCCGGATTGCAAGACAAACGGAATGTGCTGAGCGGAGTATCCCCTAAGACAAGCAGGGAAGAATGCACGGGGGATAAACAACATCAAGAACAAGGACCCATACTGTAGGTGCCTGTGTCACAGCAGCAGATGGAGTACTAGTGGTTCTTGTTGTCACACAGCAGTGTTCCTGCTTCTGTCACTGCGGATGTGCCCTGCAGGCATGCGGCTTCAATGTGGCCCAGCCCGTCGAATCGGTGAAGTTCCTGACACGGTCTCATGCTCGGTGCTGGCAAAATGTCGGCTGAAGGATCAGCAGCCAAGTCTCACGACGACGATGCAAGCGACTACCTCGGACTTGGCGGCCTGAGTCCAGGTGGAACTCAAGGGAACGTGCTCATCAGAAAATGGGCTGACGTCATCCGTCGTCCATGGATCCCGCCTCACCATCCGGCTTCCAGCCCCATGCAAGGAACCTGGAACTCCGCGCAGAGGGTGTGTGTGGCAAAGTCAGGCGCAGCTCATCGTTCCAGTCTGAATTGCGGTGCAGTATACAGCACTCAGACCCTCTGGAAAGCATGCAATCACTGAGCCTCCAAGAGTCGTCCCCATGCACAGGCAGACTCGCCTCCGCCGACATGGCTCGACATGTCGAGATCTCAACAATTAGAGGGGGCTTTATGCTATAATTGCCATAGGTACAGGGAATCCCGGGAACCCGAAGAGATCCAGCATGCGTCAAGAACTATTAAGTCTCCTACTGCAATACGCAGCGAGTCGGAAACAACTTTGCGTCGCACATTCAGAGGGTAACCGAAGCACAAGGACGAGCAGTAAGATGAATGACGAAGGTAGCAGTTCTGCTGATTTCGCCGTGCCGATGATAACGATAGCTCAGGCAGTGACAACCATCATATTTGTGGTAGTCCACAACCAGATACTTGTTGAAATCACTGTAGAGAAAAGCTTGAAATCTACGGCCCTACCCTGGCCGAGACGAGAGCCTGCCAGCTGCCCCGGCAGTGTGGCAGCGCTGCAAGTAGCCGAGGCCAGACAGTGGAAAGCGCTGAATCAGGAGCCTCTCAGGTTTCATTCTCGGGTCTTTTGGGCCCCGTCTTAGACTTCTACAGCCAGCAGAACTCTGAAACTCTGCGGCTCACCCCCCATTCTCCCGACCGGCGCTCCCCAAGCTATGGAAAAGTGACAGGTTCCAGCATCCGAAACGGCGACAACACAACAAGCACTTTGATAGTAAATCATGGTAGGGGGTAATTAGTTGTGTTCTCAGCATGAGCAATGACGAAGACAGTGCGAATGCACATGGAATGAACTGTGCAGGCTTGAACAAATCATCACAACTACAATAGACACGACCAGAACCACAAGAGCAACAGGACAACCTTGCACAAGCCAGCAAAGATATCTATGTGTTCTTCAAGAGTAATCCTAAAAGAGCCCTTCGAAAACCACAATGAACCCTCGACCCCCCTTAAATTCCAGATTTCTACATGCTCAATCCGAAACCCCAGACTCATAACCCACAAATCCGAAACTTCTTTCTTGGATGAGGACTTCTGAGAATTGGTTTCCGTTGTCGGCTTTTCCTGTCTCTTTGCGCCTCTTGGCGGGCTCTGCGAAGGTGCACGGCGAGCCGTGCCCGAAGCCCTAGGGCCTCAGCCGAGTGAACTTGCCGGAGCTTCTGGCTTTTAGGGTTTAGGGTGTAGCGTAGTTAGGATTCAAATGCGGCAGTCGGGTTTTTGCGCTCACGCTGGAGCAACAACGGAAACAGGGAAATAAGCCAACTGCGGGATGAGCGACACACCAAAACTCGAACAGTCGCTTCCAACGAAGCTGTTTAGGCGTAGGGCTCGGCGGGTTCGCTAGATGGGCTGCCTTAGTAAAGCTCGGAATTGTTTTTCGAAAAACCTCCCCTTGGGGCGCGTGGCCCCACATGAGGAGGCGTGGGCCCGGAAGAGACAGCGAGGCCTCGGACTTCGACGCGAACTCGAGTATGGGGGGTTGTCAAAAGAAGCAGAGGAGGGTTTTAGCAAAGCCTCTTCTGCTCGAAGATCTCTATCCTTCTATCCTGCCCTACCTGCAAATCTGTTCGGCTCACTATGCTCAGTCCGCGCTGCTACGGTCGCCGCCAATGCGCGGGGCCCGTAATGCGCTGCCGCGCGGTCCTCCGGATGCCGAGCGGATCTGGATGATTAATCCCAGCCTCCCAATCCCCTGAACCTTAAACGCTCGATCACAGCTGAGAGGGATGAACAAGTGATGCAGAACCGGTTTCGTTTGGGATCTTCAGCTTGCTGGTGTGTCCTTCTCGGGGCATCTGCAACAGAACTATGTCAAGATTCCACCCGGGACGCATGTTCATCCGCGGACTTATGTGTGACAGGAACTGACTTTCAACTTTCTGCACGTGACGAATGTAGAAAGTAAGGCGGATGGTCATCATGATTCCCTGGATGGCGGTTATGATGACGACGATAAATGTGCTGATGGATGTGATTATACTGACGCTTACACTTCTGTTCTTGCCGAAGCTGCCAATGTGCGTTGGATTCGCAACGGTCTGTCCTCGTCGTGATTCTCTGTGAAGTGGCAGAGACGTCCTGCAGAGGCCAACCCATGAAAGCGCCGTTCGCCACCGCTATGCCTGAATGATTTCTCGACGAAGAGCCCGCAACTCTAGGCTGGCAAGCCGTCACTGAAAATAGGACAGATTCGCACTTGCTCTAGGGAGAGGGCTGAAGCTGCTGTCCCGAAATGGAGAATCAAGTGCGGCCTGTGCCCATGTCCGGGCTGTGAAGGATGTGACCCCGGAGCTTGTCCATGTGCCCCTCAGTCAGCCTCAAAGGGCCGAATGAGAGAGCCGAGAGAGATACAGAAGAATCTAGACACACAGACCAAAATTTTTCACTCGTATGCCAAAATATTTCATGCCTCTACACAAAGACAGAGAGAGAGAGAGAGAGAGTGAGCCAGAAACTACTGAATATGTATAGACAAGTGCACATCCAACATGTAGCTGTGAGTGTGTGGCGACCGCAGTGTCTTGGCAAGCTCTTCCCATTCTCCACTCTACAGGCAGTTGTCGGGCCTGTCATACAGGACTTTGTCGTATGCAGCGCTGAAGCCCTGCCGCAACAGCTCACGCATGGTGCCGCTGGGCAGGATCTCATCCTCAGCCGGGTACAGAAAGAGTACCTACGTGGGTTCTAGAAGTCAACTCCTCGTTGCGGACTGCGGTGCTAGAAGATATCGGCCCTCTTCGCACAAAAGAGGTTTGACTAACCACTTGCATCGTTGCGCACAGGACGCAGTGTTTGCGACAAGGGTCGTACTCATAGCATTCTGCGACCAGCAGGAAGTTCGGATGGCCTCATGCTCGCAGCCCCATCATTACCACAATATTATGACCAAGCCGTGTCCAAACAACTGGCCCGTCCATCTCTTCGATGACGTGTGGTTGGAATGCATATACATACATACATACATACATACATACATACATACATACATATATATATATATGTGTGTGTGTTATTATGTGGTCTGCATCCAGACCATGCAACCAATGAACCATCATAAATGAGCACACATTCACATTTGCCTGCGTCTGTTTGCAGATGCGTGTATGTGACGGAACGTTTGCATGAACGCATGCGCATTAGACGTGGACATCTGGACATGGGCCCACACATGCGTGTGTCTATTCCTTGCATGCCTACGGGTCTCCTGTCGAGTCTGATGCCGTCGGAGGTACGCGCGCGGAGCCGCGGGAGCGCCCAAACCCAGAACTCCTCCCCCGGCCGGTGGAAGCCCTGCTCACGGAGGTGGTGACCCCAGGTCCTCACAGTAGCGAGGTCCGAGTTGCTATTCTGCGACTCTCTTGTGGCTCGCTTGTTGCTATCGCCACAACCACGCCCAGGAAACTGATGTGAGAAGAAAGAACCCCGCAGCAAGTCTCGTCAAGCACTTCTTGAAAATCCCCGTAGATGAGCTGGATGTCCATTTTCGCGCATCACCAGCCCAAACAAACCTCAAACCCCAAGCGACTGGTGTCCACAATATGTTGACCACTTGGAACTATTGCCGCCTTTCGATGACGTCGTTCACGCACAGCATGGCCTCGAGGAAGTCAACCCGAAAGACGAGACAGCGCAAGCTAGGGGAGAGAGAGTGAGAGAGAGAGAGAGAGAGAGAGAACGAGAGAGAAATAAACCATGCCCAAGACTCAAAGACCGCACGAGTCTGCCTCAGGCTGCGGCCATGTCCACGCGCATGCCGTCGCATCTTTCCGCCACGTCCATCAGCTGCTGTAACATGTGCTCCCTGCAGGCTGTCGACCTGGGCGAACTACGGCGAAGAAGTTGAAAGGAGAATTGTGATCTAGGTCATTTCTAGTTCCAACTAAATTCTTCTGGCTGCTGTCTTTGAGCATGATGGCGATTATTTTTGAAGCATGGCGACTCATCTCCCTCAGGAAGGGCATCTAAGCCTCTTTTCACTTGGTGACCAGGCACCAGTAGTTCAACTGAGCCGTGTCGGTCCAGTCGCCAGAGTACGGATCTTTGCCGAAGGCGACTTTCCCGTCACGGCCTGCGAGTGCGGAGCTGAAGCGGCTGCAAGCGACCACCTGGCTGAACCTCTGCAGACGGCTGGAAGCCTTTATCGTAGGCCATAAGCCTTACGGAATATATCCCAAGCGGACACAAAATCGAAGATCTCCTGGCCTCGAATGAACAGGTCCGGGATGTCGATCCAAGGGCTGTCTCTTGCCATGTGATTTGGCCTCACAGACTTCTTTAGTTTCATGCTGCTGCCTGTCATCTGTGGAGGCCATCATGCTCGCAAAATCAGCATCGTGTCATTCTAGCTGGTGTGCCTGCTCTCTTCTGGCAGTGTTCAACAACAGTTCGTTGGAGTTTCGGTGGTGCAACTTCGCTTGCAACATTTTCGTGTTTTCATGTGGTTGAAACACTTTCGTTGCTGTTAATGCCACATCATGGAGGTCGTCGCTATCGTCGTCGCCCAGCGTTGCCGGTGGTAGCAGTAGCAGTAATGGGAGTAGTAGGTAGCAGTAGCAGTAGCAGTAGCAGTAGTAGTAGCACTAGTAGCAGCAGCAGCACCACAACGGCTGCCGTGCCATCTGCTGCAGAAGTAGAACCAACGGCAACGCCGGGCAATCTTGACGCAAATGGCTTGTGGCAAAACAGAAAGAACGCCGAGGAGCACAAAGTCCACCATGAGTGCCACCCCCTGCGAGGCCAAACGGGCCCGGAACTCTGCCAAATCCTCCTCGAAAAACAAGCTAGGAGGATCGTGGAAGAAGATGAAGGACGTGAGATGAGAAGCTTCAAGATACTCTTGCTTCGTCGTCTTCGCAGTCGTATGGCAGTCTCCAAGCTCTTAGGATGCTGACTCGAAACTTCAGCATGTGTGCTCATTGGCTCCTCTGTGCCCAGGTCAGGGTTGCAGGTGTAGCGGCTGATGGCATACGGAGAACCGATACAGTCAGCCTCAGAAAAGTCCTCAGCTTGAAATGGAAGGCAATAGCAAGAAATGGAATTCACAACCGCAGAAGCCGGTCGCTGCCCTACAGATGAACAGGGAAGACAAGAACCGCAAACCACGGTTGACCACAAGGTTGACGACCTGACGTCGAGGACGATTAGCACGAGGAGCAGATGAGCCATGAGAGGAACATATTCTGACAGGACGATGATGGGCAGGCGGGTGATGAAGGTTGGAGGGCGGCGAGGGCAGTGGTGATGATCAGATTCAGATGGCAATGGCCCATCAAGGTGTTTTTTGCACCGGCAACGTTGTTAGGCCTGGAAAGACAGCTGAGCTATGGCCGAAGTGCTGGGAGGCAGTCTTGGAAGTGCTGCCGACGTCCGGGGTCGGAAAGATCGTGCTGGCGTCCATAGGGGCCTTCAAGGGAAGGGTTCACTTAAAGGGGTTCAAGACTCCGCAACTGGCATACAACAGGAACTGTAGAGCCGCCCCTTGATCCTCAGCCCCTGAAGCCCGAACCTACAGCTCGGCAGTTCAACAGGGCTCCGGCCTAGCTCCCAGCAGCCTCACAGGGCTTTACCCACTTCAAAGGCGGGCATGGCTCAATTCTTTCCTAATCCTCTTCAACATCGGAATGCTTTTGGCCACATGCGTAATCGCGCACGAATGGTGCTTCGGATTTGAGAGAGAGAGAGATCAGGTTGCATTTGCAAAGCTCTTCGGACCTTGAAGCCAACACACATCCACGGATCCACCGAGCAAGGCCGTCGAGAGCTGCTCGTATGTCACGTCCTTGAGCCTACTGACCTCGCAGTGCTCAGCTCACTTGCAGGCTCCTGGTTGAAGAGCACAGAACAAGGGAGAGTGAAAGAGAGAGAAACAAACAAACTACAAAGAGCATTGACATTGACGAATATGGAAAGCGAGCCAGACAGCTGTAGGCAAAACAGCCAAGAGGCAAGCAACCTCCACTTCGCGAGCGCTCAACACCGTTCTCGCATCACCAAGAACAGCCATCCAAAATCTCACAGACTTTCCCCGAAACGCAGCGAGTGTGGTAGCGCCTGCAGATCGTAGAGCCAGGGACGCGAGTTTAGCAGCAAGATGCTCGGGTGAGCTGGGATCGCCGTGTGCTCGGCGGCCATGGGGTGGCTGGGATCTGTGGAGGGTTGCTGTCCTAGTGAATCTAGTAGGCATCACAGGACCTTCGTCACGGTGCCCAGTGTATCATTAAAACGGAGATTGCTAAGTGTGTACATGTAGCGTGCAGCATGTACCGGGGTCTAAGCCGAAGCCTAGGCCACTCGAGCTGCATTCAGGTGTGATACGTCTCTGCCATGAAAACTCTACAGAACTTCGCGCCTTGTGACATGCAGGCCCCTAGAAAATGCATTGAGGACATGAATACTAAGTGATGCCACCCAGAAGGGTCTCAAGATATCGTGTGCCGAGCCAAAGCGGCTGAAAATGGCCCGGCAACAACGACCTTTGGTTCAGGTGCCCACAATGCTGGCCCAAAGCACAAACACAGCTCGTGTGTACTTCCACATGCACTGGCACCTTTTGCGCACATCTCAGCCTTCAGGCAGCGCTGCCTTGGACCCCCAGATCAGCATCATAGCTTCAATGAGACGACAGCAGCTGCAAACATTGGTAGCTACAGGAACAACACTCCAATGAGTAGTAATAGTAGTAGTAGTAG